ATAAATTATATAATAGTGGGTGCAGTTCCTTAGTATCCCTTGTTTCACAATTCATACCAAGTAACAGATTTGTTAAGTCTTAAATTCAGTCAGTAGAACTATCATAAGCATCAGGTCTTCACTTCAGTACATGATAAATCTAAGTGGGATGTAGTTTCAGCAAACAGTAAGTTGATTTTTGTCACTGAAATAAGTCCTCAGTGAGGTAATAAGCAAATTGAGACACTGTGCGTGGTCCACAGGGTACTGTGGAAAAAATCTACAGCGATGAGTTTGTGTGGTTTTTCTGTTGTATGTCAAGGTGCTGTGAATTCTACACTCACCGACCAGCTTCTTGCACTTCTCTGATGTTGTATTCACAGTCTCTTCACTAGTTTTATTCCAGCATTCACAGGGCTTGTACGTGTGCATTCATTTCAGTTAGCTCTGACTTCAGAGATTGGTGAAGGTATGTGCCTGGCTCTTGCCTTGTGAGGAATATTTGCTTAGGATTACGAAACAAATAAAAAAGGCCAATTTCCGCAACCCACACCACCCGTATAATTGTAGTCTTGCCTTTGTATTTCTCCACCCTGTTGATGACTTGCACTGCAGATCACTACTACATCTACTTTCCAGTGAAGTTTAGTCTGTGGAAATGGGCAATGAGCAAATGTTGCTTGAGGATGGATTGCCCTAATTTGAACTTGAACTGCAACTTATTTTCCTGCCAGTGGTTGAACAGCCATGGAGGCCTTGTCTAACTGGTCTATTGAGAGCAAGAAGATAAGAATGTACTGACTGTGCCCACTATGGTTTTGCCTTTTTCTCTCTCTGGAATTCTCAATCCTTGTTCTTCTTTTGCCTGTCTTCTTTCTTTCTCATCTTTGTTCCATGCTGTGCACCTGTTGAGTAATTCTTGGAAGGAGAACGTGGTGGGAAAGAGAAGTTCTGGACTGTGTTTTATTAAAACTAGGCAAAACTAGATTTGTTTTTTGCTCCTCCTCATTCAACATTTTGCAAAAACTGAGCTCACAGTTGCTTTGTCAGCCACATTCCCAGCAATAGCATAAAAGCTTTAATAAAAATAGGAATTAAATTGAGATGAGGGAGGATATATGCATGCATATAAATCCTATGTAAGTCCTGGGGTGCTCAATGAGGCTTACTTCTAGAAAAGTGTGCATAACAGTGCAGCTCACATTATTGGAGGAAGTTTGCAAATTTCTCAGAAGCAGGTCCTAAGTTGTGATTGGAATATTGTGGGTTTAATAACCTGATTACTTTTTCACATACTAATCTATGTTTTCAATTCATATTCATTTTTGTCATTAGCATTTTCCTTTTCTGCAGAGATGCCAGGTTTAGTGGCAAGGGAAATGCATTTGTAAAGCATGATGGTACTCTTTCCATAGTCTTGAGCAGGGGTATAGAAGTGGATCTCCATCTTCCTGCTCTCCTGAAGGCTATATGACATCCCGGGGCATGGCCCAGCACCTAAAACCACAGCCATGATCATGTCTCTCCCTTGTTGTCACAGGAAGCTTCCAGATGGATACCAGGCAGATTTACTCTCTCTTTGCTTTCCTTATCTAAAGGTATGATAGCAAAGAGGAATTAAAACTGTACGCAGAACCAAGCGTCAGCTGCAAGAGTGTATCTGGAGTTGGTGATAGATCAGGGAAACTTTGCCAGCAAGGAAGCGTTGGGGGAGAGTTACAAAGTACACACAGTTTTTATGAGGCATTTCAAGTGAAAAATGAGGAGGGATTATTGTGCAGAGGGGAATAGTACCATGTATGATCTTGTTATAATTTGCTTGCAACAGGTGCAACCAGTCCTTAATCTCTAAACGAGGAACACTGAGACTTTAATCTGTTTGGGAGATGCTCCATTACTCTATGTGTGGGGAGGTGGGGAAGCTATAATTGCTAGGAGAGGTGGGGAGAAAAGCATTCTGCATTTGCTCCCAAGCTGTCTCTGTTTTACTTATTTCCATCCACATTTGCCACATTTAAATTTTTGCATTTATTAATTAGTTGCATTTCTAGCCCCCCCGTTTCTTCCAGTGAGTTCATTGTGGCATACCTGACTCTCCTCCTTCCCATTTTATTCTCATTTGAGGTAGATGACATTGAAAAGGAATGACTAGCTCAAGGGCACCCAGTAGGTTTTGTGGTTCAATAAGGATTAAATGTAGATTTTTCCAAGTCCCAATCCAATGCTCTAAAAACTCACACTGTGCTGAATTTGTACATATACACATAAATCAGTGTGTGCAAATTGGTGGCAGAGGTGTGCGCCTTAGAGCTAGCAACATCCCTGGCTACAAGTTTCCTAGTCATGAGGCATACATGCAGATGTGAAACATTTTCTTAAATAAAAAGTTAGGATTCTTAGGAGTTTCAATGCCAGCCTCTTTAGTGCTCACCTTGAACACCATTTTATATGCTGTTGCCCTAAAATTTATCCTAAAATGTCTGTTTCCCTACTTCACTTGTTTAGAGCATGTCAGCCACCTTACTACAAGTGTTGGGGGCTCAATGATGGCAGCAACATAATTGGGAACTGCAGCTGTTTTGTTTCATTTGGAAGACAGCTGTTATATATTTTAGGATGCTAACTTTAGTCTGCATGTTTGGAATGTTGGCCTTTAAATGGAAGGTGAGAGAGCTCACAGTTCTTTGCTCATTCCCTTGGCATGATTAAAAGCCTGGAATCCTTAATCCCCAGCTCTGTGGTATGCCTTTCTTGTTTGTTCTGCCTTGCACACCAAATACGTATATAGTTGGTCAGCAGTTGGGATAACTGAGGATGTACCTGAAAGGCATTAGTAAAGAGGTGGTGCAGGTGCAAACATTCCATTTTCTCCTGGTTAAGAGACAAGCTGTTGACCATGGGCTGGCCTGTTACCTCTTCTGCACAAACATTCCATTTCTTCCTTGTAATTGTTAACGGTGGCAGAGCACTGAGAAAGCTTGAGTTGGCGTTATCCTCTACGGCAGGCTTGCAGGATCTGCCTCTTCGCCTTCCTGGCATGTTAACTGCAGGCTAGCGCAAGAGATGTTTTTGGAAGTCAAGAATTGTGAGCCTAGGAAGCTGTCTTGAATACAAGAACTGAAAAGAGGTTGCACCCTCCAAAATCCTTTCCTGTTCTTTCCTCATTTCAGCGTTGTAATTGTCTTATGAGTCAGAAATGCTTGCCAACTTACTGCAAATCACCCAGAATTCTGCTGTAGATGAACCTTCTGTTTACCATTGTGTTAAGAAAGATCCTATTTCTTTTCACTAGGTGTGCCTCAACAGGTAGTAGAATCTCATAGGAAGTTTTTGAGAATATACTTCTTCAGATAGTATATAACTGTAATGTCATATAGGGCATTAAAGGTCATAAACAGCACTATGAATTGTACTCAGAAATGGATTGGCAGCCAAGCAAGCTGTTGAAAAAAAAAAGGGATTTGCATGCTGCCAGTTAGCAGCTCTAGTCAGCAGTTTAGTTGTTACTGATATAGAGATGTAGTACTTAACTGGGATAAGAAACAGCCTCTTCTTTTATAAAGGAAATTTCTAATAAATCTCCAACAGAATTGTTCTTTCCCTGAATAAGGGATGTGTTGTCCACCTTCTTGTGCATTCTCATCAGTTGGAGCTGGTCTGAAAAGAACGATGTATGTATTTTTATGTCTGTTATGAATTTTAAGCTGCAGTGAGAAGGAAGACTATCCTTCAGTACAAATGTTTCCTTCAGGGAGGATTGCTCAATGACCCAATTTATAAAGCAATTAAGAAACAACAACTCACAAATATATAAATATATCTATTTGTGGGTTGTTATATATATTTATATACATATAAATATCCCACAAATAAATATATAGAAAGATATGAGTATACATCTGTCTGTGTGTTCATGTGTATGGACACACACATACGCACGCACGCACTCTCTCTCTCTCTCTCTCTCCATCCTGATGGGGGTAGAAATAGATCTAAAGACCTTACCGTGGATAATATTGGATTCAACATGAGAAATCCATATTGTTTCAGCTATCAGATTTGTGGAGAAACCATTTACTGTCTGAAATACAATTGCTATTAGAATAAGATAGGAAGATCTTGTGGCTCTGAGTTCATTGTAGAAGTATAGGTGATAAGCATGATACATGTACACAAAGCAAAAACACACTACAAATTGCTTATGCTTTTTTACACCCTAAAAGTGAGCGGCAGTGAGCCATAAAACTACAGGGGGAAAGTTGTTTATTTTTGTGGTCTGATTTCAGTACATTTTCCAGACATGGAAGGTTCTCCTGATAAGATGGGGCACAACTACAAAATGCTGAAAGCACCCTTGACACATTTCAAAAGCAGAACCCTGGACTCTGGCGAATTCCCTTTTATGGAGTTGTCAAGTAGTACAGGGGTGCCCCGCATAGCGACATTAATCCGTTCCAGGAAAAACGTTGCTATCCGAAAGCAGGAAAAACGTCGCTATCCGGAAACATCGATATACGGAAATGAAAACCCAATAGGAACGCATTAAACTCCGTTTAATGCATTCCTGTGGGGGAGTAAACTCACCGCTAAGCAGGAATCCTCCATAGGGCCGCCATTTTCGCCACCTCGGTAAGCGAGGAATCGGCACGAAAACGCTGCGGGCAGTCATTTTCTTCATCTGGTTGCCATTTTGGAACCGCTGATCAGCTGTTTCCCAAACATCACAATGTAAAGATCGGTAAGCAAAACGCTTACCGATTATCGCAATGCAATGTTTTGCCTATTAAAACATCGCAATGCGATCGTAAAAACGATTGCAAAATCTGCATCGCTATGCAGATTTGTTGTTTAAACGGTGCACTCGTTGGGCGAGGCAATGCGATCGTAAAAACAATTGCAAAATCTGTATCGCTATGCGGATTTGTTTAAACGGTGCGCTCGTTGAGCGAGACACCATTGTATATTGAAACTTTTAAATGTAGAGAACACTGGAGATGATCACAAGCTATTCCTCTTTTCAGAACTGAATCAAAGATATGGTCACCACTGGTTACTGAGGAAGGGAAGACAAACCCATACAAGATGAATCTGGCTTCCCAGCCACAGGTAAGTACCATAGATAATTCTCTGTTCCTTTTCTGCTATCCTGTGGCCAATGCAAATATTGTAATATACTGAGGCACCATAAATTGCTCTCCCTTAACGGCTTCTCAGATTTTTTTAAAGGAATGGATACACTTTTTTTAAAAAATTAACACATGAATGCATGATGTAAACATGATGATTATGTCACAGGGAAAATGAGTTGTGCAAATCCATTGTGATGTTTGGGGCCAAAGAATACACAATTCCAGGCTGGCGCACCTGGTTCGTATGCTAACTGTTTCACCTTTGGGCACCTTCAGTAATGGCTGCATTCTCAAATTACTGCCTACGAGAAGAATCAAATTGCGGTGGTTCCACATAGAAGCATTTATTTGTTCTGCCTTATACAGTCAGAAATAGTCTGTTGCCTGACATAACCATTCGAGTATTTCTCATTAGCAGCATTTCACAGATTGAGTTACAAGTTGCTCAGTACTGAGACATAGGGTGATTGTTTCACGCATGTTGGCTCACAGAGTTACATGGCTGAGCTGCATGGTGATGGATTGGGTATTCACTTTCCATGCTGTATGTATAGAGGTCCAGGTCACATAATCTTCCTCTGTTTTTTGACTGGGAAGAATTGCATATGTAGATCCCCTTGTTGAGCACTCGTGTATCACATTGAGGAGAGACTTGATGGGCAGGGGTGTAACATGGTTTTTTTGAAAATTGGTCTTCACGAATTGGTCTTGCATTGTTTTCTTGGCTTGGGAGAGCAGCAGTAAGGTGAGCTTCAGTAAGAAAGGCAAAAATGAGGATGAAGTGGAAGGTGTGGTTGGGAAATGTTCTTCCTTAATGAGGACCGTTTGATTGTTTTGGCATTCCTCCAGCTAGCTGTTTTGTGTCAGACTGACTGAGAATTTTAAGTGCATTTGCTCAGTTGGTTTATTTTACCTTTTCACCACATGTTAAGGGTAGTAAGCTCAGCGCATCCTAATTGCCACATGAAGTGTAGATATGATCATCTTAGCAGAAAGAAAAGAAGTATTTCTGAATGCTGCAGTCTTACCATGTTACTCTAAGGTAAGTCCTTTAAGTTTTGATCATGTGGGTTGTGTGTATTGTTAGAATTCTAAAGATGTTAGAGTCAGAGAAATGTATGGGTTTGGGTAGCAGCTGGATTGACTGGGAATGCAGCCAGGGCAAACATGGCATTTTGGTCATGCTGTCTTTCTTCCTGCTCAGAGATTTGTGATGACGTAGCCCAAGATCAAAACTGGGGTTCAGGCATTATTCACAGTGATTGATAGATAAGGGCAAAAGTGTGAGAGAGGATTTGTCCACATTTGGGGGGGGCATCTGGAAGAGAGCCAAAATGAATTTGTCACCATTTCCAAGAGGCCTCAGTGGGTTGGAACATCTGCCAGCAGATCAGGAATTTAATTCTCCACTGTGTTCTGAAAAAGAGTCAGAATGTATGGCTTTGGGCAAGCTATAGGGTTGCAAAGCACCACCAGAAGACAAGCCACTTCTTAGTATTTTATATGTAGAAAACCCAGGGAAGCGTTGCCAGTTGTTTTAATGAATTTGATGAGGCATCATCAATTGTTATCATTCTTTCAGTTGCTTCTTGTGTAATGTGTATTCTTTCTATAAAAGAACCCCGTGTATTTGGTAGAAAATAAGTTTAGGATGAATAGGAAGGAAATAATCAACATATCTGAAAAAGAAGTATATCCCCTTTGCATATCAGGACATAATCATCATCATCCGTGTTCTTAGCAGGTCTGAAAATTAGGTAAAAATCTAATAGAAATCAAACAAACAAACAAACACATGACATATTACATAATCTCTCTCTCTCTCTAATGTCAGTGTGTTTCCCCAAAAATGTTGTTCAGTAGCTGTGATCTAATACAATAGATTTCCCTTCAGCCTATTCTCATGCAGGTCCACAAATTTCTAACTTGTCAGACCAAAATATTTATTCTTTCTTAGTGGCTGCTTTTCTACTGTGCCAATAAAACTGTGGGAACTGTTCTGGTTTGTTTAATTTGTGCGCAGGCGCATGAATTGCACATAAAATCTAGGAGTGCACATATCCATTTTTGTGGTTGCCTGAGGCAACTAAGTGAGTGGCAATGTTTCTGTGTTCCTTCCAGCCATAATTTTAATTTGCCCAACTGATGTAATGATTAAGTTAAAAATAGGCCAGGCCATGAATGGTCTTTCCTGAAGCTTTCTTCTAAAGCGTGCTGTGTCACATCCTCTAGGGATGAGGTAATTGTTGCTGTTTTGTGTATCTATTCCCATGGAAATGTGAAGGTTACAGAAACTGGGAGTGTGATTAAACATTTGATAAGACAGAGCACAGTTGGCAAACCACTGAGGCAGGAAGTAAGCAGCATAATAGTTCCCCTTTTTATTATTTTTTTGCAAGTCTGGTGAACTTCACTGACTTTATATTACTCACTATTTTTCAGCCTTTTGACCTGCATGTGTAGTTCTTTAAAAATGCAAAAAGAAGTAGTGGGAAGTTGCTTGGAAGGTTTATATATCTCATCCAGAAAGACCTGGGGTGAACCTTTCCAGTTATCATTCAGATTTCTTACTATTTGAAATGTTTTATTGTTTATAATTCTCAATATATGGGGTCTATTAGGATATTTGATTGTTGGCCACAACTGTCAGGAAAAATCTTACTGTGCATTGGAACAACAGTTCCTAATGATCTGGCAGTTAACACATTCATGAAATTATGTTTGATGTGCTAATAATTATAATATTTAACTTTTGTATAGCACTTTGAGGAGTCCAAAGCACTTCTGTTAAGTTATCTTATAATCCTTACAAGAAGACTGCAAGGTTAAAGAGTATTATCCTCCTGTTGTGGGGCAAGACATGGACCTGTCCAGACTGGCCATCTTGGTGTGGCCCGAATTGGGCTACAGTTATTGAAACATCTTGAAGTGGAGACTACGTTGGTGTAGGCTGGATCAGGCTACAATTATTAAAATATCCTGAGGTGTTTGGGACAAACAATGTGCCTCCCATCTGAAAAGCATATCAACTTTCAGCTCATTCTGCTGTCCATTAAACACTTCTCCTGATTACTTTTGGAAAGTCAGGAGTAGTAGGATTTTTAAAATGTCTACTAGATTGTCGCTGATGTGATGAATCACTTCCATTAAATTAAAAAAAATATTTGCCTATCTTTGAATTGCCAGTTGAGAGACTGCCTGCAGACAGGCATATATTTTAATTGATTTGTCTCATCCACAACAATCTAACAGACGCAATAAAAAAATAACTTAACTTCCCCTGACCTTCTGCAGACAATAAGGGGAAATGTTCAATTTCTGATACGTATCCTGAAGCAGCTCATACGCCACTTCAGAATGACACTGGAAGGAGCTGCAAGGCTCCAGTTTAGTCCATTCCAAGTGACCACGCTCACTGGAGCTCTCCAATCCTCACCAAAATAGTAGAAACCCCCTGGCAGGGTTTTAAAAAAAGATGTGAGTTGAAACAAATTGATCTGCTTCAGTGATGTCCATGTGTGGATGCTGGAAACAAACTGCAAGCCAAGCCATCGGTGCACCAAGTAGTGGGACAAATCTCCATGTAGACTCTCGGAGAGAATGGCTTGTTTAGAGAGCTGATGGCAAAAGCAAGGTTTCAAAGATAATTTTTCCTGATTCATACACACTATACTATGCGGCCCCCACCAAAGTGCACATGTTAAAATCATGGATTGGTATGATATGAAAACTTTCTCGAATCCTAACAAGAGAATAAAATTGAATTCCCTGCAAAATAATGCTTGCAATGCTGTCTAGCAAACAGCAGAATAGCTGGACAAGGCATTAATCTCAAGTAAGTGGTAAATTCTTTGTGAGACAGCTGTAACGCTGGGAAGGTTGTGTACTTTATATAATGTAGACAATAGATGCCCAAATCTTCTTGTGTATTTGCACCAACATAACACTTAATGGTGTAACCTTTGGAGGTGAATTGTCCCAAGTTGAAAAATCACCGTAGACGTTACCTGTTGTGTGCGGAATTGTGGGTTCAGGGCACAACAGAATTATCTACAGTGATTTTGTAGCCGGACACAGTTTGCCTCTCAATGTTATTCTGGTAGGATGAGAGATGGGCACAACCCTCGGTTTGGAAGTTTGTGCTGTGTGTTCCCTTTTGCCGCCTCCCCCAGCTAGATCCCCCACTCACCAGCTGGGATGTACTCTTCCTTCTCCTCTTCAGCTGTTTGGCCAGTCTTCAGCAGGAGCATGGGCTTTCCTGCCCTTCCTTGTCTGATCGCCTACTGAGACAAGGAAGCACAACAGGCAAACCCGTGCTCATGGCAGGGACTGGTCAAACAGCTGAAGAAGGAGGAGAGGAGCATGCTCAACTGGCGGATGGGTCATTGGTCAAGAAAGCAGAGGGAGGTACCGCTCATACAAACTGGCACAGACCTTCAAACCAAGGTTTGTGTCCATCTGTAGTTAAGATTACACTGGTATAACTGTGCAAGAGGATTTTGGCCAGTGTTAAGGTTTTTTTTATCCCATTCTGTGCACATGCTATAGATAAATGTTCTGACCAAATGGGAAGGAAGTTTATATAGAAGGCTTAATTTAAAAAACAAGGGTGAAAATGTAACTGATCATGATGATTTTAAGCTCTTGGCAAGTTTTTAATCTTCCAGTTGGAGTAGTTGTATTGCATCTGATGAATACTCAGGAGGACCTATATATTCCCTAAACTAGGCATGAGGGATCTTTTTTCCAGCTGTGTTTAGCATTACTTCAGTCTAAACCTAATAAGGTATGGTTTCTAGCAGTAGACATAGCTGAAGTCAACATGTTTATGGATGTGACTCTGACCCTTGTCAAGTTCATAGCGGGTTGGTGATGAAGGAAAGGAGAAGAGACATTTCATCTGCTCCTCTTTCTCCAGGTTGTACAAGAATCCTTATATCACCTTTGTAGGCGGAGGACGGCAGTAGGAGTTAAATAATGACATAAATAATATGTAAAATTCTGAGGAAAGCTGGTGACTCTGGAAAATGAGAGGATGGCTAAGGGAAAGGTGGCATGGCCTATGAGGATCTGGAGATCCAGGTTGAGAGGACTCAAAATCCATTTTGGGTCTTTAAATTGGAGGTCCCCAACTTCAGTCCCATATATTACTAAGTTTGGAGCCAGTTCTGCCTTTTCAAATAAGGGAATGGAGCTTAATATGAAAATAATACGGCTGTCTTGCATGTTTCATGAGATGTGAGATTTTGACAATGGTGCTGTGTGATCCTCCTGCAACACCATTGCATTTCTGAGGACTGGGAAGAAATCTGCTTAGTGAGGATAAATTCATCTATCAACAGGAATGTTCACATTCAGTTGCTGTTTTTGTTGCCTGGCTAGTTAATTACATAGCCTTTGACCCAGGAGGAAGGTCTAAAGCATTATATCTGACATATTCAGAACTTTTGAGCCCTAAATCCTGAACCTCTATACAGGTCTAAAAAGGGAACACAGGATGCCTATAAACCTCAACCCTGTATTCCCATTCCATCCAGAAGTCACTCACATTTTCTTGTGAGAAATGTGAAGGTCTGAATCAGAGGCTGTAAGCTGGTTTGTCTTAATGCACTAAATGCTACTCAGATTGTTAGTAGGGCTTAACAGCTTCGAGCACACATTGCTAAGGGGACTTGATCTTCCCAGGAGATCTAATCACTTTCATGCGTTCCTCACATGAAGGTCTCAGTGATTTCTAGATGGGGAGAGAATATGGGGGTGGGATTTACTGTGTTCATGCAACCCTTTCAGACCTGGATGTGCTTTCAAGTTTAATGCCAAATATGCAGTCTCCATTTGAGCAAAGGTAGATTAGATACTCTGGGCACCTCTCCTGCTATTGAGGAGTTCCTCTGAAATCTTTATTTTAAAATGGGAGACAAAAAGTTTCAGAGGTAATCCATAGTTTCCTTTTTCCTTTGGTATATATGTTTGCTGATGGATGAGGGTTGTGGAGATCACAAGCAGTGCTGCAGTTCAGCTTCTTGGATCTCTCTAGAAGAGTTTTGTATCAGCTTGGACAGTGGCACAGTTGCAAGTGGGGCGGGGGGGGGGAGGACCCTGGGAATTAAAGGCTGCAGGTTACCAATCCCTGACCTAAATTACATTTGAACTTTCCTTTACTCGAATACCTCAGCGCCTTGGATGACTTAGAAACATGGGAAGCAAACTTGTGCCGAGTCAGACGAGTGCTTCCTCAGGACCCTTTATCATCGCTTCTGGATAAAAGCATCTCTCAGGGCAATCTCTCTTCCCCCCCCCCCAAGCTGATGATGATTACAAAAATTATTGCATTTTATACACAGAATGATAACCAAAACAAACAGAAATAGTAATGGAAGACCTTTAAAAAACAAGCTCAAAAGACGAAACATACTTTTTCTTACATGGATAAGGTTAAATGGGAAGAAAAGGGGATTTACAGAATTGGAGACCTTTATGAACACTGGGCCCTCCTTATAATTAAATGGGGGAAAATGCAGGGAGTGCAAATGAACTGGATTATTTCCCATTAACTATGTTACTTAATTATAAATACTTTAAGGATTTCAAATCAGGATTCTTTTCCACCTCAACGTCTCTAGTATTTCCTGGTGCTGCCCCATCCAAGTCCTAACAGGGTTTATCCCTACTTAGCTTCCAAAATGAGACTAGCGTATTCAGGGTTGTGTGGAGAGTCATGGTGTAGCATTAAGATGGATGGCTTTGCCTTAGATATCAGTGGTGCCTGCTTCTCCCTCCTTCGGGTTATGTAAACTGTCCTTCTTTCACAGATTCCCTGATTAAGTTAGTTGCCTGTCACTTACCCCTTGCACGTCAGATGCTTCTGATTTTTGCCTCTGCTCCCTTGCATGCAGGATATAAAGCACATAGGAAGTGCTCACAACAGGAGTGCCATGCCATTCACTGCCAGCACTGCTTCCAGTACATCACCTAAAGTCATCAGCGCTCAGTATAATAGTCCAGCAGGTCTCTACTCCTCGGAAAATTTGCAGTCCTTCAACACTGCAGTGGAGTCCAAAACTGTGGCCGACCAGGAGGCCCATAAGAAGTAAGTGACACCCACCACCACCACCACGTTGCACTCTTTTTGCTCAACAGCAAACCTGAGAGATTTCTGTTTTGTATGTGTATGTGGAGAGCATGTTTTGATGCCTCTGAAGACTCTTTTTCTAAAAAACAAAAAAACAAAAACAGGTTGGTTTCTCAGCTGGTGTGGTGCCTGCGAGGCGTGGTACATACGTGGCCCTTCTGGATGACAAATGTAAAACTAATGATTCTTCTTTTCTTTGTTCAGCAGCTGCCTCTGCAATATCAGCGTGCTGTCAGTGTGCCGTATCAGCCTTTAAAATTGTCTACCCACTCACCCAGGTGCTAATTGCTCTTATTCTGAGATATTTAAGATTCTTGCTCACTTTCTAATGAAAAGGAGACTTCTTTCCAAAATGCATAAGAATGTCCCTTTTTTTTCATTGAAAACTTTGGGGTTTGGAAATTTCTTTTCTTTTTCTTTTTTCTTTTGGTCAGATGTTTAAACATGGTGTTCTAAGCCTCACTCTGTGGGTGTGGGTCTGGTTAATTATTTTCCATGGTCCCTGTCAATTATACCTATAAGTTCTGGGTGTGTGCAGGACAATATTGTGAACTTGAGAGATGAAAAATGAAAAACTTCAAAATAGGAAGACCCACCTGCCCCTCAGTAGAGAGGCCTAGAGCATGGCTCTTATCTCCCAACTCAGTTCTTTTTCAGCTACTTCAGCAAACACATAGCACCTCCTTACCCTTGCAGTTTACCCAGTTGTTTCTTTTTCCCCTTTTATTTTGTGTTTTATTTTTTATGCAAGATTACTGTCTCGCAGAACAGTCACCTCCTGGAACAGCTGCCCTGTGCGTGCTGTCACTTACTTTTTCTTGGAGCTTCTGGCTTCACCAGGCCTGAAATGTACCAGGTGTGGGAGTAAACTCCCACCATCAGAAGGACACTCTCTGTGTCCTCTCTTGTTTAGGGAAGTGGCACTTTGTGCAAACATTGCAGGTTTTTCCACCCAAACCCTGAAGGATCGAGTCCTCTTGCTTCTGAGACCTGTGTTGGCACCAGGCCTCTCAAGTGACTAATATTGCTGCCAAATAAAGATCTGCCTTTGTCCAGGCCTCCTCCTCATTTTGTTCCTGCCTCTTTCATCCATTGGCTTTTAGTTGCACAGGCTGAGAGGGCTGGGTCAGGTTCAGGTTTCTCCCTCAGTACAATCACTCAGGATGGATGCTGGCTGCTTTGACAGCTACAGGCTGTCTTGGCTAAGTGACCAATCTCTGCCCTGTCCACAACTCCACAGAACTCTGAGGATGTTCTACTGCTTTTGGACATCTACTGCAGGACATGAAAGATTTCATGAATATTTTATTTGAATGGTCACCTGCATTATCAAACAACCTGCCTCCGTTGCTTTGCAGGTGTGGTATCTTGTTTGATTTCATTTTTGGCTGCTTTGTTAGTCCTGGGAACTGAGTGGAAAGGCAGGAAGTACACCTTTAGGCATTTCCACTAGGTGTGGCTCCCAGGCTTTCTGGTTTCCACTCCAGAACATTCTGGAAAGAACTCAGAATGTTAGTTTTTACAAAGCAGTTAGTTACATCTGTTCTTCCAAGCCCTCCTTGGTATTAGTTGCATTTAAAGCAGCATTAAAAATTTTTTTCTCCTGTTTCTTAAAATTAAAACTGCTTCTGTACTCAATACCATGTTTTTTTCAAGCAATAAGTATTTTTATTGATAATAAGAAATGAATTTTACAATGCATTTCTTACAATTTTTCATGAATGTTAACAGATATTTCACAATGAAATCTAGTGCATTCATCCATCCTTGTACAATTTTCAACTGAATCAAGCATTGCTTTATATTACAGGTGTTCTCAGTTCCAAATCCTCCATTTTTTACTGTGTCTCTTTGCATGTGGAAGAGTAAAGTTAATCTAGTATTGTGACTGGTTTAGTCTTTCTGTTTACCTGCAGTAATTTCTTTCCTCCCTTTCCTCCCTCCATGGCAAATGGGCACCTCTTCGACCACTCCTGCCCTTTTAACACCCTTCTCCTGTGTAGTACTTGGTCGTCCACTGGTGGGTTCAAGGCTCCCTTTGCATCTGTCTATGACCCTCTCCAGACACTTCCCGCCTCCTGCTTGCAGAGGAGGCACAGTACCTCGTCCATCCCAAATCAGATCAGAGTGGGTCCAGAACAGCTCAAGGAGGTTGCTCAGATCTGTCCCCATAGCCCTGTGGAGGTGGAGATGCCTGGACTCAAAGTACGGCACATACAGTTTAACTCTCCTTTACAGCTCTATTCACAGAAAAACATCCTGGATTCTTTGCAGGGACAGATCTCTTCCATTAGCCCCACTTGCCCCAGGTAACTTTGCCTGCTTGGTATGCAGTTGTCTGAAGGCGGGTGAATGTTCACTGTCATTCGTTTCTGTGACACCTTCTGCTCAGCCAACCCACTACGTTTGTTGCAAAGAAACTAAGGCCTGGGTAAGATTTTGTAATTCCCAGCCAATGGAAGTGACTTCCCGTATCGTTTAATATGACGGTTTTATTGGGCTGCTTCCTGGTATTACAGTCCCAAAGCAAAACTTTACACCAGCATGCGCACAGGTTGACTCCCTTCCAGCTCTAAGATTGTTAGTAGTAGTATTCATATTATCATATGGGAGCATTCAAACATGCAAGTCTCTGTTCTGATAATTGAGCCTGAAGCATATTGGGTGGGAAAGACAAACAGCAGCAGCAACAGCAGCTGGGATGTATATATATTACCTGGGAGGCACTGGGGAGCTAACAGTGGATGACTATTTAAATGTGCCAGTCTACCTGTGAAGGGCGTGTGCTGCGTGAGTGTGTGGGCTGCTTCCGGTGAAAACACTATTACATTGGCCTTGGCCCTCGTTGCATGAGGCTTATCTCGTTAGCCTTTCTTGGCTGCTACTCTCTCTCTGTGTCATGCATGATGTGGTACTGAACCATTCAGGTCGGTCGGTCACAGCTTTATTTGGATAAGTAGGAAGAATCTACTGTGCTGAATTTTACAGATCGTTGCTAGGAGACAGCTTTATTTGGATAAGTAGGAAGAATCCTTTCTACTGTGCTGAATTTTACGGATCGTTGCTAGGAAACTGTCTCCAGTCTGAATACCTTTGGCATTTGTCACGGCTGTCTCTCAACCACAAGCTGACCTGTTGTTGCACTTTGTGTTCAGCAGGGGGCATTGTAAGGGGCTTGGCCTTGGTGAGGTGGGAATGGAGTGTGGTAGAAAATGCTGCAGATATTTCTTGCCCATTTTCAAATACATTAAGGGTTTCAAAAACCTTCCATCGGAGGTATATCCAGAAATTTTTTCTGGGCAAGGTCTAAAAACTTACATTGGGGTAGGGGGGCCTCTCATAATGCATATACATGCACACATGTCTGTCCTCTTAATTAAAGTGGAATCTAAAGAAACAGTGACAAATGTGAGGTCACCTCCCAAACCTTCCCAGTGAATGTACAAATGGCCAAAGGATGCCTCTTGTTAACACAGGGCCTGGATAAGACCTTGAACAAAGGAGGACCTGCATAAAACCTGTTGAACTAATTTCCTTTGTTATATAGTGGCTGACAAAGGCATTTTCCATTCAGGTACGCTGGCAGTACCTAACATGTTCCCCCTGCTAAACAGTACCAAGAAATCATGCCTTGTTTTCTAAAGCACTCTTCCAATTATGGGAGCTATAGGGAGAGGACAAGCAGCCCCACATTTGTATGTATCCTGCAAAGACAGCAGAAAACGGTGTTGCTAGAAACACGAATTCCAACCGGAGAGGCTCAGTGATGATCAAAACACCAGTTTCTGTTACTGTCTTTCCTTTTGGGTTGCCGGAGGAGGAGATATGGTAGGTACAGACTGTAATACTTCCTGTGTGATTCATATATTAGAAATTGTCTGGCTGTTAACGTGGTCTGTGGAAGGACTGTGTCTTCCCCCCCTCTACTGCCCTTGAGCAAAAAGAGCAGAGCGGAAAGGAGATTCATTGTGTGCTTCAAGAATGGCTTCACTTTGAAAGCCATCCCAATTGCCTAATTTACTTCTTTTTTATATTTCGCTTTCCTCATACCATTTCCTGTGACATTGTCATGACATGTGCATTACCCTGGTTCCTCAAAAAGGCTGTGCCTGGAAAAGGTGTTTCCATCGATATAGATACACTGGAGTACAGTGACAGTGGTCCATTTCCTTTATAACACAGTCAGTTTACACACACACACACCCCACACACCAGTGTTTTTCACAATACAGTGGTGCCTCGCTTAGCGATGTTAATTCGTGCCGAAAAATCACTGCTAAGCGATAACATCGCTAAGCGATGTTAAAAAGCCCATAGAAACGCATTGAAACCCAGTAAATGCATTCCGATGGGCTGGAAACTCAATGTCCAGAAAAGATCCTCTATAGGGGCGGCCATTTTCAGTGGCTGTCTTGCAAGGAATCCGTCCGAAAACACAGCGGGGAGCCATTTTATTTGCCTGGCAGCGTGGTCGCCATTTTGTTTTAGCGGCGGCCATTTTGGAACCGCCGATCAGCTGTTCGCTATGCTTTGATCGCGTCCGCGCGATCATCGCATAGCGAAAAAAGCCCATAGGGGCCATCGCTGAGCGAACGCTCCAGCGATGGCCCGGGACCCATCGTTGTGCGGATTCATCGCATAGCGAAGCGTTTGCTATGCGAGGCACCACTGTATAAATCAGCATGTTTTAGCATTTAATAAGGAACACAGAATTATTATTATTTTTTCCCAATGTTTGCTGATGCTCAAGCAGTACCAGACTGTTTTTCCACCCTCTATAGATGGGGTTGGAACAAGGTTTCCTCTTAGCTGGGTCTCCATGCAGCTGTCTTCCCCTCCACACAGCAATCAAGTTAGCTTCTGGAGGGCAGAGTCGCACACATGCAGGAACAAAGTCGTGTGCAAGAGAGGCAGAGCCCCACCCAACGGAGCTGAAATTTAGAGGGTACATTGAATGGGAATGCATACACAACCCACTGAGTTCAACTTTAGCATCAGAAAATTTTGATGATGGGGGAGTGATTTGTACATGAGCAAGACGGATCCCTATGATTCTGTGATTGCAGCTCATCCATTCAACGACCTTCTAATCAGCCAAAACCCTTAGGAGATTCTTGAAAGTCAGGAGATCGACAATGACATCAATCCGATGAATGACAGGAATGTTGTGGAGTATTTGCTTCTCAAAAATGGACTTGAGTCCCTTGAACCTAGGATCTCCAAAGATGGAGAACATGGAAAAGATGAGCTGCAGCCTTCGTGAGTGTCTCTGCAGCCTAGCGGAATGGATGAAAGACATAAAATAACAAGCCTCCTTATTAGGTGGCTCAGTGTGCTTTGCACTAGCTTCCAAATTACAAGTCACGACATAGTCCCGGCTCATCAAGCCTTCCAGCGATGACTTAAGGAACAAGTCAGTTATATCATCATTTCAATGACTCATTGCCCACAAAAAGTACAAGTAAAAAGAGCAGGAGAGCTGTTCTAAGAAATTCTGAAGGGAGGGATGCCAAGATGGGAATCTGTGATGCTTTCTATCCTCATTAGCAGTGCCAATGCAGATGGTTCCAGCCAGTAAAGAAAAAAAAACAGGTCTTTGTCTCTCGCTGTGGTCCAAACTGAATGAGAGAGGAATGGAAGCAGAACTGAACTTCACACAACTGTTTTGGTATTTAGCATTGACTGGAGACTGAATGTACATGCACATGTGGTGTGGGGAGCTCTGTGGGAGGAGGAAGAGGCTTTAAAACCAGCCCCCATCACAGCTATGCCAAAATTGCTTTGGGATCAGTGGGGGGGGGAGGGGTTTTGCTTGTATTGTCTCTCTTGAGATAATCTGTTTGACCAAATAAATTACAGAATAAAGAGTTTTTGTATTCAAAGAGCAAGATGCAAAGTAGCTGAATAATATTTCAAGTCAGCTGTTCCAAAGTGATATAAATAATTTGCATGCGCCTGGTTTCTACAATATTTCTTAGTCAAACAGCAGTACAAAAAACAAACAACCCAGACCAGATATAATAGGCCATACAATGAGTCAGCTTAAATAGTTCGTATACTCCTCCTTTTTCTCCTTCTTTTTACCATCTTGAAGGAAGCATGTAAGTGAACTTAGCTGAAGGTCCCTCTGCTCGCCATCTCTTCAGTTTGTCATGCCAGGCACTTCACCTGCCCTTGTTTTGAAAGGGAGGCAGGCAGAGGTGTGTGAGGGCGAGGGAGTGGATGGTTCAGAACTCTTTGCCCAGATGCCTCTTAATCATAACATTGAGCAACTTGTGCCCCTTGATAAATGGACCTAGCAGATATCTGATTCAAAACATACATGGCCAATCTGGTTGTTCAACTCATTATAATTGGGAAAGGTTTCATTTTTGTGGTTTTGTACATTTGAATATAGTGGCATAAATAATCACCATATTTATTTTGACTTTTTTCAGAGTCTACTCATAGTAGTTTTGATTGGTGGGAAGAGAGGGGTGGATGCCTTAGTTATCACTGGAAACCTGGATCAGGCTTCTATAAGTGAATATAGATAATATATATAATACATATAGATAATATATATAATACAGCATGTGACTGGATATTTTCAGATTAAATATATTTGATTTGTTTACATTTGTAAATAATATTTAAAAGTTGTTGCTTTTCTTTGCAGTATAATTTTCTTAGTTAGCAAAGTTCTGACTTTTTCCATTTATTTGTTAGTTAAATTCATATTCTACCTTATAATAGAATAATATGCCATCAAGTGGATTCTGTCTTATTGTAAACCTTCCAGGGCTTTTTTGGGTATAAAGTACTTGGAAACAGTTTACTGATCCCTGCTTGAGTTGGTATTCTGGGACTATGCAGCTTGTCTAAGGGCACCACCCAGGGCATTTTAACTCCCTCAGCCATACATGTGCCCAATGGTCTCCTTTTCTGGAGACACAGTGCAGTTTTAGACACCTGGGCCTTTGCTCTGCAGCCAGGGACTGCAACCCACTGAGCTATACCAGCACCTTGTCTCCGAAGGAGACAAGGTGAGGTACATGATGATCTTCCTCACGATAACCCTTTGAGGTTGGCCAAGTTGAGATTTGGACTTGTGTCGCTTAAATCCTAGTCCAGCACTCTAACAAGTCTTAAACACACAGGGGTTCCCCCACCACTTCTTGTTTGTTACCACACTACTTATGTAATGGCATATAGGTAGGGCTATACAAAGGCAAGTTAGTGTAGTCTCAGCTGCAGCTGGGTGTCTTCATAGAAGTCCTCCTTGCCCTCTCTTTCTGCACTTAAAATGCGATGAATCCCTTATGATAGAACTTGACAGATTGGAATTGTAGTATTTGTCTAATTGAGTGGTCTTCCTCTTAGGGGGTTTCTAGCATAACACAGGGCATGCACATCATGTATAAAGGAAATATGATTAAAGTGTCTCTATAGACCTAGATACAATGAGATAATATAATATCAGAGTGACATAAATCATTGCGGACCTAAAGTGTACCCTCTACTAGGAGCTATTGAAGGTTAATTTGCTCTCAAGCCCAATTAAAAATGCTGATGCCAACCTTGAAAGCTGTGACTAGCTTGAGCCCAAAGCCTGAGCATGCTAAGATAACCAGGAATGGACTTTGCCAGAGGCCACCTCCACTTCGGATGGGATGGCTATATCTGCAAGGGGCAGGTGGGTTTTTGGGGGGGGGGAGTTTATTGTTTTTTGCTGTAGCAGTACTGGCTATTGTTTAAGCTCCGGGCTAAATATGTTTTTAATCGGGCAGTCAAGAACCTTTAAAAAGACCTTTTAGTACATTTGATGATTAATTGCAGTTACATGCTGCCTATTTTAGTTTTTGTGTTTTTCACAAACGGTGGGTGTGACCTCAGAGGTCATTTACTTGAGCCCCTGATAAGGCAGAAAATCGACTCCCTAAGGATCCTTGACAGATGTCCATCTGTGTCAAAATATCTCATAAAGGAGATACTGTTCTCTTCTGGAGCAGTTCATTCCGCTGGCAAACAGCTCATTTCCACAGGATGTTTATTTTATTGTTCTGTCTGAGCATTTCATCTCCTTGAAATTGCCACTGTGGAGTTCAAGACATATTATATGGGGTTACAAAATCCAAGATTGATCTATCACCTTTGTGATAATTTTCAAATATTTGAAATGGCTGTCATTTTACCTCTTATTCATTTCTTCTCTGAGCCAAATGCACCCACTGCCCTCAGCTTTTCCTCACAGGACTAAAAGAAACAGCTGAAAATGGGTGAAACATTTCTAAAGATGGTATGATTCAGAGTATTGTTCCAGCGCAGCTCCAGGCAGACCTGGTACCATGTTTATATTACAGCTTTGGTAGTATGTAGCTTGTCATGCGTTAATCTGAAAGAACCAATAAGGAAGTCGCTGCTTTTAGCTGTAACTGAAAACCACTGTGAATATGTACAAAGTAGCTAAATACTAAAAATATCAAGAAAACTCCGTCAGGAGGTAACTGCTTATGTTTGGTGCATTGAATCATAGATTTAATCTCACTGCAGTTTGACACCCTCTGCACTGGTGCTAACACACTTTGCATCTTCCACTGTTCTAGTAGTGTACATTTTCTTTTAATTACATTATAATGCAATGTGACATTTTATTAATTTGAGACATCTGCTTCAATTTTCTTCAGCTTGGACTCTCTTAGCCAGCTCTCAAGTAACTTGGTCATTGACAAGGACTCTGAGGTTTACAAGATGCTGCAGGAGAACCAAGATTCCAATGAGCCACCGAGACAATCTGCCTCGTTCCTTGTGCTCCAAGAAATTTTGGAATCTGAAGAGAAAGGTAAGAGACACACAAAGTCTTTTGCTGGTTTAATGAATGGGACTAGTTAGTAGTAACAAGAGCATACAAGCTCTGAGTTTGAATGGCCCTTACTATGAACTATCTGTTCTGTTCCCGATATTACATAATGGGATGCTAAATGTATCATGAAATTGTATGGATCAGAAATTGGAAATAGCAGTTATGGCAGGAAGTTGCACTGCAGTCTTGGTGAAATTGCTGTGTGGCTCAGGAGGAAAATCTTCCTTGTAGTCACAATCACTAGGTCTCTCCTTCCTGCCTGCCAACTTTCTGTGTGGTGGCTGATGGGAGAGGATATAGCCGTGCCCTTGATCTAATGAGTGGGACTTCAGCAACATTGAATTACAGCGGACCCTTGACTTACAGACGGCTTGACTTACAGACTTTTTGAGTTACAGACTTCTCTGGCTGCAAAATTTAGGTTTGACTTGCAGACTGAGATTTGACTTACAGACCAGAAAAACCCCAAAATGAAACAAAAACGGCCTGTTACGGGATTAATCGGTTTTCAATGCACTGTAGGTCAATGGAGACTTGACCTACAGACTTTTTGACTTGAGAACCGCCTTCCAATACGGATTAAGTTCTCAAGTCAAGACCCCACTGTATCTCTCTCATCAGGATTGTCTTCCTTGTCTCCCAGTTTAAGCTAGAACTGGATTAGTCCAGCATGCTCCCTTTAACATTTGTTCTTCTGATCTAAATTAGTTGCTGCTACTCCCTTTTGTTAAGGGAAAGATCGCTGAAGGGGGTCTGCCTCTGTGGACAGTGTAGTGTGGGAGCTTTCCTCCTGCTTCCTGACAAGAAGTCTACAACTTCCACAGATGCTCTTCTGCCTACAGGGCATTGCACCAAATACACTCTTCACACCACCAAGGTTACACTGCATTAGGTTTGTTAGCTCAAAGCAACCAGCAGCAACTCTTTCCAGGCTCTCTCAATATTCTTTCCCACTTCTCTTGCTTGGCACAAGTCCATACTGGCTCCATCTAAATCACAGGAGAGAAGAGGCCTTCAAGTTCTTCACATGCTGGAGTAGGTTTTGTCCCTGCAGAATAGCTCAGCCTCTGATCATCCATTCCTTACCAGTGGTCTCAAGGCATTACGAATGGTTTTGAAAAGACAGGTGTTCTGTCAGAGAAGGTGAGGAAATGTTGTAATCTCCAAATGAAGTCTTCAGCTCCTCTTGTTTTTTTGGTTCTGTGTAGCAAATGATATGCTTCTGGCTGTCAATCCATCCCTTGGTGCAGGGTAGGGTCGGCAGACCTAATAGCAACTAGAGATGGGGACGAAGGGCCAAAATGGTGTTTTGCCTTAGTTTCATGGGTCATCAACCTTGACGACTCACAACTTGCCCCCAGGTGGCCTGACAAACCATGAATCAGTTACAATACAGAAGCCAGATGGTTGGAACCATGGTTTCAGTTCCATCAGCCTAGATTTTGCTAGGAACAGTGGGGAGGGCTTCCCGTTGGCAAGCCTGACTGAGTTAGCATTTGCCTTTTTTTGCAGCCACGTGATCTACAATTCCAAGATTCTTCTTGCATTGCTGAGCCAAGCGTCCCCCCCCCATCTTGTAAATGCGCATTTGGTTTCTTATTTCTAGTTTTAGGACCTAATTATGAAACTCAGTCCGCTCTTACCAATTTGAAAGTGTATGCTCATTAAGTAGAAACATTCAGCCTGCGTTCCTTCTGAAAGTAAATGCAGTTTTACTTTTCATACTCACATCTTTCAAAGACATGCATGCTGGACTTGAGTAGCCCAGATGAAATATCACCGAAGGATTTTTCTCGCAGAAGATTCTTGATCAATGGCCTGAATTGTTTTCCTGATTTTATACTCTATGTATCTTTTGCATTGCATACTAAATGATTTTAATATTCACAGGGGACCCCAATAAGCCTTCTGGATTTCGAAGTGTAAAAGCCCCAACAACCAAAGTAGCATCATCCATTGGAAACTCCCAGAAACTTCCCATCTGTGATAAATGTGGATCTGGCATTGTGTAAGTATCAGTATGTGCACTAACTGGAACCTGCTTAGTAATTTGGAAGCTGCCTGCATGGCTCATTGAGTTGGGTGCCTGGCTGTGGAGCCAGAGGTCAAGAGTTCAATTCCCAGCTGTATCTCCCAGAAGAGCTGTGTGGCCTTGGTCAAGCTGGGCAGCCCCATAGCCTTCCCAGAAGGAGGAGGAGGGTGGTAGCCCATTTCTCACTATTTGGTATCTGGAAGTCCCTGAAAAGTTGCTGTAGGTTGGATTGAACTATTGGCATGTAGTCATTTCAGTGATATGGAACATTCTGCATGCTGGGGAATTTGTGAGTGATTAAAGATTCTTCCAACTTAGAAAAGACATGGCTAAGAAGGAGATATGACTGAAGTACATGTGTTACAAAACATGATTATGCATCGATACAGTCCTCCAATTAAGTATGAGACCTTGAAGCACATTGCCATTCATAAACATGCAGCTAATCAAGTTTGGTCAGTTCTGTAACTGTGCCAAAATATCTTTTCGAAATTTCTTCTATTCATGGGAATAGAAAGCATTTTTTTTCTTAATTTGAGTTTTATCAGGTTTTGCCAAGAGAAAAAAAAAAATTTCTCCCAGAGTGCTGCACTGGTGGGATTCAACAGCATTGTTTCCCCCCACCCCCAAGATTTCCAACAACTTTGACCCTGTTCCTCTTTCTCCCCAGAGGGGTGTTTGTGAGGCTTCGAGACAAGCATGTCCATCCAGAGTGCTACGTGTGCACCGACTGTGGGACAGACCTGAAACAAAAAGGGCACTTCTTTGTAGAGGATTCTATCTACTGTGAGAAGCATGCCCGGGAACGCGTAACTCCACCGGAAGGATATGAAGTGGTCGCTGTGTTTCCAAAATGAATGTTTCAATGCGTTAAATGTTCCAGCAGGAGCCAGTCTTCCTTTGCAGACCCAAAAGCTCAGCACGCCTTTTGCAGTCAGTGGGTGTTTGTTGGCTGCCACTCAATACCACTAAATCATGAAACAGCTGCAACTTTTAGAGAACTCTGCTCAATCTGGGGGAATACCCTTCTTGCTGACACAACTCTTCCTTGTGCCTTTCTCAAAAGAAATTGCCAAAATCAGACCACAGAGCTGAATGACCATACTTTCCATCTGTTCTTTTTTTTCAATAAAGTGGTTGATTTGAAGATGTGTCTACATTTATCCCCACCTGAGCCTGAATTATTGATGCTTCATTGAGTAGGTGGATGCTGTTTTTATCCCAGAGTTTGATTTAACTCCAGAGGAAAGGACTACAGGTGCCCAGTCATGTTGTTGAACAAAAACAAAATCCCTTTTGCACTTAAAAACATTTTGAGAAAGGAAGAACTGAACTGCATAATCATCATGTATGACTTGAGATTTTCATTCAAATGTACATTTCACTGAAAGTAATGTAGTACACATGGGCAGAACACGTGTTGTTCCTGGCCAAGGAAGCGATATGTATGTAGATGATTATTCTGTGCATTAAGCACATCTGTGCTAAGTCTGGATGATTACAGTGAGGTGTAAGACAGAACAGGCCACATATTACACTTTTTGGTGCCTTCTGCTGTATTTCTATGCCACTAACAATGCTATATAGCAGAAAAACCAGCAGCTAAGTTGGAACCGATATGTGTGCAGTGACATACATGCAGATAAAACTTATGAGTGCACACAGCTGATCAAGAGTGAAGAACACTCTCCCTGTGGGCACTGCTGTGACTGTATTGCCTTTGAGCATTCAGCTCCCCAAAATGAAAAATGTCCCCTATGAAACTGCACCCCTCTTCCAGCAGCATGAAGGCTCTTCGCATATCATTTACTGCTTTTCTGGATCAGAAGAATATAAAAAGGAATGGTGTGTTCATTCCACTGTAAGACAGCACAGGTGGCTGCAAAAACAGTGGGTGAATCAATAGTCTAAGTGCATATTCTAATAACCTGAACAGTTTAAAAGTATAATGGTGCGGTATATAAATCAATATGAAAGTAGTAAATGTATACTGCATGACAGAATGTGATATGTACATTCCAAAGCAAACTTAATATTGATTCATGAAACCTCACATATCCTCAGACACAATGTACAGTACCTCAGGTTGCAAAAATAATGAGAGCATAAAGTAAAGCAGGTGACTGGATAAATTAATAACCATACTGGCTGCCATTGCTTATTCATATCTCCATTTGTGGGGGTAATGCCTACTTAAATGTCAATGTATACATCTGGAATTGCAACAATCCAACCACTAATATATTTGCCAGGTTCTTCTGTTACACAAAACAGTACAAATCTATGTTAAAACAACACAATTTATTTAGTAAGTTTATCAGCATCTGAACTGATACTCTTTAGACTTACAAACACAGACTAAAGAAAACCCACAATGAAGGTAAAGAGTCAAAACACTGTTTTTAAAGAGACATCCTGTAGAAAAGAAAACTGTACAAATTAGACAATGAGACACTATTGAAGCCTGGAAACCGTTCTAAAATCTGACATCAAAAAAGGCCCCCAAAGGCTCTCATTCAGTTTTGTGACATTGTATTTTCAAGTCGCCTGAGAAGAATAAAATCTGAAGAATGTTAACTACTATGAGGGTGTCTGCATATGGGCATATAAAGCACAAGTTGGCCATACTTCAAAAGACACTTTCTGGGCTGGCATCCTTAGTGTTTTCTAACAGTTTGAAAGATCCCACTTTTTCTTTAAGTCCTTTAGAGGTTTTCATCTGATCTAGAAGAGAAAAGAGGAGAAAAAAATGCCACAATTCTGAGGACTATGGAGTCTGAAGAAATGACCATCAACTTTTAAAAAACCGACAGCAGTCGGTTTTTGAAAGAAACCCTGAAGTCTCATGGAAAATTTTAAATCCCATTAAATTATGTATCCCATAAAGGTGTGACCAATTTCAGCTGGCCAGAGCCTAAGAAATACGGACACTGATGAACCTCAGAAGGAGCCCCCCATGCAGTCACTGGGGAAGGAGCTAGAGGTGGAAGTAAATGAGACCCCAAACCTGGGGAAATAGTTCTGCAGAGGTAAACCCAGGCTCTTCACATGCACATATGGATCACAGCACCAAAGCAAGGAATTGTCAGCCCACAAGATACAACTCCTCTGTATTTATAGGAGAGTTCGGATACTCTTGGAAGTGAGTCATTTCACACCGAACATCCCCCAAATCAATCCTGTTTCCAAAATGTGTTACAGATTCTCTGCTGTCTTCATCAAATTATCAGAATCTTGGAAGGTTTTGGAGCAAGATGCTGTTCCAAACTTACTAAATGGATTTGATGCAGCTTTTAAATAACAAGACCTAATAAGAAACCAACACTATTAAACAAACTGAATACTTGGAATAAAGTGTGGATCCAGCACTTAATCTACAGATATTTAGGTGGGGTGGGTTAGATAGCTACTATCTCCTGTTTCCTGTTTGTACATAGCAGGTTTATACTTAGGTATTTTGTATCTTCTGCACTTTCATAAAATACCTGTGGTACAACCATCGTTGTGCTGAGTTGCAAGTGACATTTAAAACTCTTAGGCTTATGGACATCTCTGGTGTTATTTCAGTGTTACAGTTCATGTTAAAGAGTTTTAGTTTAACTTTCCCCGGCTGAGTCTTAACCAGCATTCTAATTCAGTGATCATATGCTGGAGGTTACGAGTCATCCTTCACAGACTGACGTTTGTTTAGGGTTGGTTTGCAGCTCCTTGCCAAATTAAAGCGCATAAAAACCCAATCTAGGGAGCTCATTTTCCTCTACTGACCGTGTCTTCTAGAAGGGCAGGAAAATACTTTGGTCCTTATAGCAAGACATTCATTCTCTACAGTGGACAATGGACACCTTCCCCATGGGTTATCCCTCCCACACGCTCTGACACGTGGGGCTTTGCAAACCAGTTACTTGAGCCCTTCGGACCACCAAGAAATTTCAGTCTTTTTCTCCAAGCCACAGTCCAACACGCACGGAGGAACAGACAGAAAAACAAAGTGTTGAAATAGAAAAATTAATACAGCCCACATACAAGAACTGTAATTGAAAACACGTGAAGAAAAAAACAACACGTAGCAACATTCAAAGAGTATAATTGTGCTCTGCCAATACTCTGCTATGATCTCCATTGCCCTTCTAGAACTTAAATCTTATCTTTCCTATAACTTACACTTGGGAAGAGATGATTGTCCGCCACTATATCAAATGAATATCTTACACCAGGTACCAAAATGCCTTTCTCCTCTACAGTGGATGAGGACATCCTTGCCACAAGACATACCACAGTACAGTGGGGTCTCGACTTACGAACGGCTCGACATACGAACGTTTCGACTTACGAACCGCTCTCATAGGATTATATGGACTCGACTTATGAACTTAGATTCGAGTTACGAACTGTTTTCCTTTTTTAAAGGAAAAAAATATCCCCCTCTAGTGGCAGAAGGTGGAATAGCAGCTTCCCATTAGTTTCTATGGACGAAAAGAGCAGATACGGATTAAATGGTTTTCAATGCATTCCTATGGGAAATGCAGATGCAACTTAAGAACTTTTCGACCTGACAACTGCCTTCCAATACGGATTAAGTTCGTAAGTCGAGACCCCACTGTACAAGTTTGTACCTGGGGAGGTTACTGGTTACCACTGAGATTGTGCCCCTGTTTCATACTAATGTCATGTCGTAGCGCTCTGCATCTGAAGGATGTCTCTGGCAATGCAATGTGATCCAACCTATAGTAACATTTAACAGAAAATGACGACGACGGTGGTAACTTCCAAGTGGCCAATTCTACAATGTTTAAAACAGGAGCTCTGCTGTAAAACGCAAATGAGGCAACTACAGTTCTGAAAGAATGTGCTGTAACCCATCTAGGGATAAATATATCCTAAACCTGGTATGCCTAAAATATGCAAGTCTTAATCCTCCTTCCCAAAAGTGGCCTTGGATACTCTCCTGCCATTCTAGGAGGCTGAAAAGAAGTAAAATGAATATTCTCTTCTCTCCCCCTCCCGCATTAGTATTATTATTCTAAGTATAACTCCATGGTCCTATGCTCATCTAGTGTGTGCCACTCCTTTTCCAAGGGTCTTGAGGGTTTGCAACAGAAAGGAAGTACAATAACCTCTTGTGTGGTATGTATGCATGTAAGTATTTTATTTAAAATATTTTTACCCTAAAGGACCCAAGGCAGCTATGAAAAACTGAGTTAATTTTAAGGGTAAATGTTATTCATAAGCAGAATTCTGGGTTGAAGAGTGCTTTCCATAAACTGGGGCCCCTCTTAGGAGATGTTTCTCCCTCCTGCCCCCAAAGTCCTACAAGCCTGGCATCTTGGAATCTCACTTTGTGAGTCTCATTGCGACCCTGGGATGGTGCTCTCTCTCTCTCTCTCTCTCTCTCTCACACACACACACACACACACACACACACACCCGTGAAGACAATACAGAAACGGCTTTCCCTGGAGCCCTCTGCATTAGTAAGTGATTCAATGTAGAGGCCAAGCTGTCCTCTTCCAGCTCATGAGAGTGCAACAGCATAGATGAGTAGAGGCAGCAAGAAGAACAAGGAGAGTGAAAGGCTTCTTTTTTGGGGGGGAGGTCAGAGTGAATTAGTTCCACAACTTATGATAGTGGAAGCAGGAATTAGACAGGATTTTTCGTCTGTCCTCACACACCAGAGGATGCCAAGGGCTCAAGTAATTGGTTTACAAAGTCCAGCCAAGTCG